TTATAAAATATGTGTCCTATATTGTGTTGTTTACCCTTGCACAATATCCCAAACCAACACAAATGCTGAAAAAGCATTTGACAAAGTCCAGCACCCACTCATGATAAAAACCCAACAGAATGTTGGAATAGGTGGTCTTTATCTCAATCAGATAAAAGCCATCTATGACAAACCAATGGCCAACATCATACTAAATGGACAAAAACTGAAAGCTTTCACTCTAAAATTAGGAACAAGACAAGGATGTCCACTATAGCCCCTCTTATTCAGTATAGTTCTGGAAACATTAGCCAGAACAGTTAGAAAGAAAGGAATAAGTATAGGAAGGGAAGCAGTTAAATTGTCATTATTTGCAGATGACATGATACTTTACATAGAAGACCCCAAAAACTCCACCAAAAGACTTCTACATTTAATAAACAAATTCAGTAGCATAGCTGGATACAAAGTCAACACTCACAAATCAATAGCATTTCTGTACACAGATAACAAATTCACTGAGAGAGAAATTTAGGAAGCAACACTTTTCACAGTAGCATCCCCATTGCAAAAAAATGAAATACCTAAGAATAAATCTAATGAAAGAAGTAAAAGACCTATACACTGAAAACTGTGCTCTTCAAAAGGAGATCAAAGGAGATACCAGAAAATGGAAAGATATCCCTTGCTCTTGGGTAGGAAGAACCAATATAATGAAAATGGCCATACTTCCAAAATTGTTATACAGATCTGATGCAATCCCCTTCAAAATACTAAATAACATATCTCACAGCATTAGAGAAAATAATTCTAAATTCATTTGGAACCAAAAGAGACCTGGAATAGCAAAAGCAATTCTGGGCAACAAAGGCAGGCAGTGAGCATCACAACTCCTGACTGAAAATTCTACTACAAAGCTATTGTGATGAAAATAGCATGGTACTGGCAAAAAAAAGAGGACCAAGGATCAATGGAACAAATTAGAAGGTGCAGAAACAACTACAAACATACTCAGCCACCTTATCTTTGACAGAGAAGCCAAACACATTTAGAAGACTGATAACCTCTGTAGTAAATGGTGCTGGAAAAACTGGCTTTTCACATGCCGAAGATTAAAACTAGACCCATATCTTGCACTGTGCACTAAACTTAAATTGAAATAGATCAAAGATCTAAATAGTGTATTAAAACAGAAACACTGAATCTGCTAGAAGAGAGAATAGGTAGAACTCATGAAGATACTGGTGTAGGTAAAGACTTTATGAATAAAACCCAGCTGCACAGGAACTATGACAAACATCAACAACTGGGATCTCATCGTATTAAAAAGCTTTTGTACGGTTAAAAAAAAAAAACCACCGGCAGAGTGAAGAGACACCCACAATGTGCAAAAAAGTTTTGGTAGCTGTTCCTCAAAGGACTGATATCTAGAATATGTAAAGAATTGAGAAAAATCAGACCCCCTCAAGTTTAAAGACCTCATCCAAAAATGGGCATCTGAAATGAGTACACACTTCTCAGATGAAGAAGGAGAAACAGCAGATAAACATACAAGAAAATGTTCAGCATCACTGGTCATTTCAGAGATACAAATTAAAACAACACTGAGAGTCTATCTTACCCTGGAAAGAATGGCTATTATCAAGAAATCAGCCAATAACAAATGCTGGTGGGGTTGTGGGGGAAAAAAGGAATCCTTCTCCATTGTTGGTCGAAGTGTAGACTGGTGTAACCACTGTGGGAATTGGTATAGAAATTCCTCAGAAAACTAACACTAGAGGTTCCTTTTGACCCAGCTCTTCCACTTCTTGAGTCTTCCCAAAAGTATTAAAAGCATCATGCCACAGCAATATGTGCACACTCATGTCTATAGCAGCACAGTTTGTAATAGCTAAATCTTGGAAACACCCCAAATGCCCATCAACTGATAATGGATAGAGAAGATGTGGTTTTTTTTATACAATGGAGTACTACTCAGCTGGAAAGAAGGATAAACTTGAGACATTTCTAGCTAAATGGGTGCACCTCGAGACCATACTCAGGAGTGAAATAAATCAGATACCCATGTTGAAGTACTGCATTATTTGTCTTGTGTGAGAAGCCAAAAGTGTAAATAAGGACCAAAATGTATAATCAGTACTGGAAAATGGGAAGAAAATATTAAAATGGAAAAGGGAACAAGGGAGGGAGGAGGGGGAAAGGAAAGAAGGAACAAGAAAAGAAAGAATAGAAGGAGAAAAAATGAAAACAAAGCTTTTGTAAATACGGAGGGGAAAAGGAGTTGAAGGAAGGGGAATCAGAAAAAAAGAAAAGGAAAAAGAAACAAGATATATCATGTACAGGTACAAGTTCCCTATGATGAGTGTTGTCATCATGTATACCTAAAATGTACTACTAAAACTTATAAAGAAATCCTAGCTCTGAAAGCAGTTCTAAAAATGTTCTTCCAAAGAGTCTTTTTTTTTTTTTAAAGCAATGTCATAATTATTGGGCTGTCAAAGGTGACAGCTATTAGAATGGAATGCTTTGTCATAATGATTTCCTGACATTATTGCATGAAAAGCACATTCTCTTAATTGATTGTCACTTCCCTTATGGATAGTATGCCTAAGTTCTTTAGTAGCACAAAACATTTCATCTTCTTTATTTAAATATGTGTATACTCCTTACTGTGCAAGGTTGATGTATAAGTACCTGGTACTGATTCATTTCATCCATATTCCCATAGTGCCTTGTTCTCTGTTGTTTGTTGTATTGTAGTTGGTAAACAAAACTTTAGGAGTGGGGGCCATTCAGTTGTGCAAAAATTGATCATGTTATAGCTAGCAAGTTGATGTTAATACACAAATCAAAGTGGCCTAAGTTGATTGGTTAATTTCTTGAATTTTAACATAATTTTCCAATAACCTGTTATAATGTTATAAAATCTATAAAACAGTATTTGATAAACGTCATTATTTTCTTATTCCATTATTGGTGAATCAGATTATTATGACAACTCAAGTCAGATAGAGTATTGTCTCCTAAAGTACTGACATTCTTGTGGTATGTACTCATTTGCCAGTAGGGAAATTGAAAAAAAAAAAAAGAAAAAGGTAAAATCTCTGCTTTTTAAAGAAAATGTTCTATTTCTTGCATAGGATATATTGCCTTTGTTATTTTTTTTTAAATCAGTTTTACTGAGGTATACATTTATTTTGATAAAATACACCATTTTAGGGAAGCCTCTTTTAAAAACCATTGAAAAAAGTTGTCATTGTATACCAGATAGTCTTTGGATAAAACAATCCTGGTGGTTACAATAGCTTTTAATGTAATGAGTAGAAAATAATGCCTTGTGGCCTACAGATTAGCAATGCTAACGTCACCAGAGAAGCCTGTTAGATATGCATTCTTTTCTTTGTTTGTTTTTGACAATGTCTGCTGTGTAGTTCAGGTTGGCCTTGACCTCACCATGTAGTCCAGGCTGGCTTCAAACTCATGGCAACCCTCCTGCCTCAGCCTCCAAAGTAGTGGGATTACAGGTGTGTGCCACCAGGTCTGGCTAGACATGTATTCTTGACCTTGGCCTAGATGTATTTAATCAGGCACTATGGGAGAGGAGCTTAGTATGTGTTTTTCTATGTCTGCCAGTATTTGTGAAGTCAGTGACACACTGATCTGATAAAATGTTATTCGTTGATTTAAATAAATATTTTATGACACCTGAAGGTGACCTTTAACCTAATCTCTGTTTTGGAGATGCATATTAGTAAATGAGTAACTTAATCTGCTTAATTATTTATTAGGAATTTTTGTTCAGGGGCATCTCAGTTTTGTTTCTTTGAAGGAAGCATTGTGAAAGACTGACACTGCTGAATTTTTAGTGCAATATTTGTTTAGAAATTTATACTAGTTTAAATATTTGAGATTTAGGAACTTTTTTTCTAAAATGCTGATTACTGTATAATAGTTTAAAATTCAGCAGCCAACTAAGTCGTCTCATAATGACTCTTGGTATGTTGTATTACTTGTCAGTTAGCAGTACTATTTGTATTAGCTGCGTAGCCAGATTTTAGAGACTTGCTATCAACTTGTTAGGTAGGCAGTGATACACAGGAGACGTTTTCTTTTTTAAACTGCAGACTTGCTTTGGCTGGGTTTAGGGGTGAGGCAGAGAGGATCATCTTTGATATGGACTTAAAATGTGTACAGTCATCTTTGACAACTCTCTTACCTTTCTCTAATATCTCATTAACCACCAATTCCGCCTCCTCAATACGATCTGTGAATCTAATTACTTCTGTCTCCTAATATTGTTCACTTATGCTTGAGCCATCGTCGGCTTTCCGTAGCCCTTCCCAGACTTACGGGACCCCACTTGGCCGGCGTGAGCAAAGCGCTGTTTAATCACTTCCATCTGATCCTGTGCTGCCACCTCACTCAGGGGTTTCTCATACAGTCCATTCTACTGTGGCCTGTGAGAGCTTACGTGATCTAGCTTCTCTAGGTTCTCCAGTGCAGAGGTCTGTCTGCTTTTAGTTCCTCAGTTGTACTGTTTCTTTCTACCACTGGGCCTTTGGTTGTGCCATTCTCTCATGATGTTCGGGGCCCTTTATTATCTCTAAACCTTAAAGATTGCTTTTTCCGGGGACTGTTTCCTGGTAGCCTCTCTCCACACTCCACTCCCCTTACCTGCATAACTCTTACTATGTATTTTCATAGCTTTGTCTGCCTTCCCTCTGTACTGTTCCATGAGGGATTTTTGGTACCCTGGTGCACAATAAAATATCTAGCATATGGTATCCATTATATAACTGGATGAATGAATGAACTAATGAATAAACAGTGTTGACTGCATGTTGAAATAGTATAATGTCTATTCTGTTTTTTTTTTTTTTCCCTGGTACCGGGAATCAAACTCAGGACCTCGCGCTTGCCAGGCAGGCGCTGTGCCGCTGAGCTAAATCCCTAGCCTCTATAATGTTTATTCTGTTGTCAGATTTTTGTGAATAAACTGCTCTTTATTTTTGTATGCATAGATTATGCCTGTGCTCTACAGAGGGACATTTTGGTTCAGGGACGACTATACCTTTCAGAAAATTGGCTGTGTTTCTATAGCAACATCTTCAGATGGGAAACTACAGTAAGACATATTTTTGCATTTAATTTGTTGATACAAATAATTATATAGATAGAAGTATACACAGTCTTCTTAAAAACAATGTATATTAGATGATTTTTAAAGTAAATTCATATCTACTTGTGCATTTGTACTTATATTTGTGTAACTATATTTATGTGTTCTGTGTAGAAATACATTTTCCTAACTTAGTATATTGAGCTGCATTTGTACTTGCTCAATATAATTAGAGAAAGATTTCAAGCTTTAAAAAGCTTGAATATATGCTACGGTTGTCGCTGCCAAAACCATGTCTTATGTGAAAGATTGTCTGAAGTTTGCTCGTGTGTTTGTGTATTAACGTGGACCCTGAACACCCTGTGTTTTCACACTTTATCTTAATGTCAGTCACAGGAGTTGAGGGTACAAACACTGAGAGAAGTGGCTGACTGGTGACCTTGTTTTTAATGGAGAAAGCAAATGTGCATATTAATTCCTTTAGACTTTTCAGTAGAATATTCTGGATTAGATTCATGTAATACCATGTGTTTTGTGTTATAAATGTTTCTGCAAGATACAGTTTTCAATTTTATTCTTTTGTATGTTTAGATTTCTATTGCTTTAAAGGATATAACCTTTATGACTAAGGAGAAGACTGCTCGGCTCATCCCAAATGCCATCCAGATTGTTACAGATGGGGAAAAGGTAAAAATATTTTCTGCCTTTGCCATACTATATATGTAATGCAAGGAAAATCTGGCTCACACTGACTGTCAGTGTTGGGAATATAGGCAGTTGTTCTTAGAGTGTGGACTACCTTATAGAGCTGCACTATATATATGCTTAAATGTTGCTGGTTAACTATATAATTGCTGACCATGCTTGTACTTACAGTTTACAAGAACTTTCACCCTTATTTCCATTTCTTTATTGTGAAGAGGTAGGTAGGGTAAGCATTAGCAAGATGTCCCCATTATTTCTAAATACCCTAATTATGTTATGTTGTTCAGTCAACATCCGCATGATAGCAAATAGTAAAAACAAATGGTTCTTGTGTTCAGAGACTTACATAGCATTCAAGGAAACACAGAAGTGTTATCTTTTTCTGCTCTGGCCATTATTTTTAACTGCCTTTACTTTTATTATTCACAATAACTTCTTGGTGAGGATATATAAATGATTTTTCTATATCACCTGAAAAATAGATTAAGGCTCTGTATGTAATGTTCAGATCATAATACTAGGAAAAAAACAAGTAGAGGGAAGGACGGAAAGGAATGAGGGGAGGAAGAAAGGGAAGGAAAGATAGGAAGGAAAGAGAGAGAAAAAAGTGAAAGAAGGTGTGAGAGAAAGGAGCAGTGCAGTGACTTTAACTCTGTGTAATTAAACTTTTTAGTCCTGTGAAGTTTCTTTCAGATGCACTTTAAGTTATTTATCTATTTATTTGGCGCTGGGGTTCAAACCCGGGGTCTCAGGCATGCTAGGTAATCACTCTGCTATTGAGGTGTATTTCCAACCCCCATATTTTTATTTAATTTCCCCCTTAATTTTATTGAATCTAATCTTATTTTTATTTAATTGTGCTATTGGGACTGGATCCAGGGAGAGCTGACCTACATCCCTAGCTCTTTTTTTAAAATTTTATTTTGAGACAAGGTTTCTGGAAGGTATTAGTTATGGTTTGTGTCAGGATGTCCCCCCCAAAGCCTCATGCAGTCGTGGGGCAGGCTTCTAGAGTTTATGATTGGTTCGTGGGAGTGAGTGCTACCCCCGCCCTGGGGCAGGTAGTTTGCATACAATAAGGAAGGGAAAGAGGCTGCTTGCCATTGCTTCCTCCTTTTGCTCTAGCTGCTTTTGCTGTTTTCCACTGCCATGAATTGTTGCCCTCTGCCATGTGCCACTCTGCCTTGGAACCAGCCAAGTATGGACTGAAACCTCCACAGACTGTGAGCTAAATAAACCTTTCCTTCTTTAATTCTGGGTGTCGGGTATTTTGTCTCAGCAACGAGAAAAAAGTGACTGAGACCGTCTTGAATTTGCAGTTCCCTTGCCTCTGCCTCCTGAGTACCTGGGATTACAGGCATGTGCGACTGTGTCCAGCTTCCCTTATTTTTATTTTTAAACCTTCTCATCCTTTGGAACACTTGCTTAGTACTAAGACCTTTTCCTCAAACTGTTTCAGAGGAAGTTGTCACTGTGATGCCTCATCATCCTAGAAATTCTATCGTGTACAAGGGGTGATTAAGATATATGATGGATATTTAAATTTTAAAAACTCTTATTACTATAAAAGGCACATTACCAAGAATGATGGGATAAGTGTGTTTGAGGTAAGGGGAACTGTTTTTTGGCCCTTTGACTAAGATCAGGTGAAAAGAGAGGGAATATTTTGAGTATTTTGAGGGGGATTACTTTTTTTACTGTAGTACTTTTAAAAATGTAAACATACATTCTAATTGTTGGTCATATTACCTTGATCAAATGTTTACAGCAACTTCTGTCAATGGAAACATTACAGTATGTCCTCATCCCGCTTATTCGTCTTATTCTTCTGTAACTTTTGGCTCTTCCTTAAAGTCAAAATGACAACGAAAGGTAAATGTTCTGAATCAATTCAGGCTATCGAAGGCAGCCATGGTAGTGAAACTAGAAGCACTCACAAAAGAGGACTTCCAGGACTGCTTCAGGAAGTGGCAGGAATGATAGGATGAGTGTGTTCAAAAAGATGGGCATATTTTTAGGTGGATTAATGGGAGTGTGTCTTTTACTGTAATAAGTTTTTATTTAAATCTTCACCATATATTGTGATCACGCCTCATAGTCCCAACAAAGACTTTGCTGTGAAGTTATTTTCCTTTGTAATTATGTTTTGACAAGACACTTTGAAACCATTAAATATGCCATTCTCACCAAACTTGAAATTTATTCATTTGTTTACTTACACCACTGTGAACTCATGTTTTTTTGTTGCATTTAATGAGTGTTAATCCATTTCCTGGTGTCCTCTTTCTGTGCCAGTCTGCCACTGGGTCACTGTGTGGCTGATGTACTCATCCTGCTCAGACTGACACTCCAGCATAAGGCCACTGTCAAGGACTCTTTTACACCCTGCTCCCCTTACCCGCTCTGGTGCTGGTATGTCTTTGTATGGTGCACTGTTCGTAGCCACGCTCTTCCCCGTGTGTGGCCTTTGGGACCCCTTACATGGCAACCCTGCTGTGGCTCTGACTTGCGCCCCTCCCCCATACTTCTTCTGCTCTGTTCTTGTTTTACTACTCTGTTCCAGGCCACCAGCTTGTGTGGAAGCTCTTCTTACCCACTGAACTCTGACAGTCTGTGCGGGACGGCCCTTCTATGTGGACACCCTCGTTATTTTCGGGTTCCAACACACTGATTTGGGTTACTGTAGCTCCTCTACCCCCATCCTCCCCTTTAATGTGGATGCCTACTTTTCTTTTACTAAAACCTTTCGGGAGGAACTGTTCAGTAAGGGGAGAGGAAGAACTATAATGTACTGATTCTTAACTTTACAATTGGTACATATATACATTTTCATTATTTAAAAAAATCATCAATTTAAAAACTAACATCTTCCTCCATGGCCGTAATACTCAAACCCATTATCTTTCTGTAGGTAAACACTGTTATCAATTCAGTTTGTATCTTTTTGACCTTTCAAACCCTCTTCCTGTGTATGTACTAATATATACATTATACATGTGTAAGGGGCTGGGGATTTAGCTCAGCGGCACAGCACCTGCCTGGCAAGCGTGAGGTCGTGAGTTTGATTCCCGGTACCGGAAAATAACCAAAAAAAAAAAAAAAAAGAAAAAAAAAAAGAAACAAGACATCAACATTATACATGTGTAGTGCATATATGCATACATAAATGTGGTTATATACATATATATGTGGTTTTGCTTTTTTTAAAAGCAAATACTGTCTTATTCATGTTTTCTTCAGATCTGATTAAAAAAGCCCTCCCATCTCTTAGCGTTACAAATGGGCACATGTAGATAGATCCATCTCTGCTTTTTGTACATACTATTTCTCCAAATGGATGTACTAGTTCATTTTTGATGTTTTGTTATTGTGATACTGCAGTAAACAGCCTGACCATGCCTTTTTAAAGTCATGTGTGGCTGTTTCTAGTATATGTAGTAGAAATTCTGGGTGAAGCATTTTAATTTTGCTCATGATAATAGCAACCACTAACATTTACTGAGTATTGTGTTCTAGGAGCTGTTTTAAACTCTTTTCATATGTTTTCTCATTTAAGTCTCACAAAAATCTGGTACTATATTTATTCTCATTTTGCAGATGAGGAAACTAAAGAAAAGTGCCACAAAGTCACAAGACATATAAATGGTAGAGTCAGAACATGAGTGCAGGCAGTTTACACAGGCTATGGTTTGAACTTCCTTTTTGTGTTAACTCTGAATTCTTTTTCTAACATCATGGAGAGAAACTGTAGCACTAAATTTTCATCCTTTTTATGTAGTCTGTGATTATAGGAAGGCTAATCATAGTTCTTTTATTTGTTTTAGGTTTTAGAATATGTTTTGTGCTTCAGCAACTTGATATATCCTTACTCAGAACTATTCCCAAATTAAGGAACTTAGTACTGAACCAAGACTTACTACATTTTATAAGTTGAATATCTAGCAAGGAATAAAGGAAGGTGGTAATTTTTCATAATCATCTTGAAAGTTTGGTATTGTAAGGTGTTGGGAATGTGGTAGTTATATACAAAAATGGGTAAAGTTAATAACAATATTTATTATCTCTACTTCAAGAGGTTGATATTAGTAAGCATAAAACACTGGTGGAAGTGAGATGAAGAGATTTTCCTGGTCTATACATCTAAACACAGAGTTGTGCAGTTATTGTAAGTAAGCCAAATAATTTGGCTTAAGAAAAGGGAATAGGGCCTAGTAGTAAGAAATAATCATTGGATTATGTATTATATTTCTAATACTATTTGAAAGAGCACTTGGATATATCTTCTTTATAAAAAGTTTGCCTTATGAAGAATATTCAAGAAGACTGAAATTCAGTGAACTGGAAAAAGCACTTTAAAATCTTTCTATGGGGAGCATTACTACTCAGAACCTTGTCTGACATTTTACTCAGTAACGCCAGCATAGAACTAAGCTTCCTCCTTTCTGAAGATACCTCATTAGTCATACAGATCACTAAGGAGATGATTGAAAGAGATCACACACTGAGGTGTTGTAGTTAGTTATTTATTTGGGGGTTTTTCTTTCTTTCTTTTTTCTTTCTTTTTCTTTTTTTTTTTGAGGAGGGTCTCACTATGTAGTGCAGGCTGGCCTTGAACTCACTTAGATAGTCCAGGTTGGCCTTGAACTCACAATACTCCTGCCTCAACCTCCTGAGTGCTGAGATTACAGGCATGCGCTACCATGCCACCATGCCCAGCAAGAGGTTGAATTTAGGGCTGTCTCATGTCAGATCAATAAATTTAATACACTGTATAAGCAGAGCCAAAGTCAAAAATCACATGGTTATTTCAATAGAAGCAGAAAAAGCTTTTGACAAAGTCAAAACATTCATTCACCATTAAAACCCTACTGATAAAATATCAAAGTCTGATAAAATATCAATATCTCAGTCTGATAAAAGCCATCTATGACAAACCAACAATCAACATCACACTAAATGGACAAAAACTGAAAGCTTTCACTCTAAAATCAGGGAAAAAACCGTAAAAGCATTTGAAAATATGATCTTGTAAAAATCAATTAAATGAAGAGAAATATATAGGGCTAAAAACAGAATTATAGATTGAAACCTGCTACTTTTGTGATACAACATTTAAAGAAAAGTTCAGAGTTAACATGAATGTATTGTATCTATAGTTATCAGTGATTTAGTATTTTTGGAAAAGGTTATGAAAGATGATAACATTAAAATTAAAAAGCCAGGCGTGGTGGCGCACACCTGTAATCCCAGCACTCGGGAGGCTAAGGCAGGATTGTTGTGAGTTCGAGACCAACCTGGGCTACAAACTGAGCTCAAGGCCAACCTGAACTGCATAGTGAGACCCTGTCTCAAAAAGACAAAACAAAAAAATTAAAATTAATATTCTTAAGTGCACCTCTGAAATATACTATTATTTGTTTGTGTTTATTCTTTGTATATACGTGGCTTATAGGCAAGCAGTTCACACTACAAAATTCATAGTGAAATCAAATGCTCATTATTCGACTTGATTTTAATAGTTATAAACTATGATAAACATAAATAGCTGCTTATTCCAATCTCTCCCCCCAGTAAGTACTAATAAAATTGTGTTTGCTGTAAAACGCTATCTGTTGTAAGTCACAGTTTGTAAAGACACGTTGTTCATACAACAGTTATCTTTTTTTCCAAAATAGCAGTGATGACTGACTAGTTTGCTTTGATTATAGCAGGTACCCAAAGACCTTCATAGTAGATACTTGCTCCTTATTTTCTTTGAACTAAAATTGTCCTGTTATTTTTCTTTGCAGTTTTTCTTTACATCTTTTGGTGCCAGGGATAGAAGTTACCTCAGTATATTTAGGTTGTGGCAGAACGTATTATTGGATAAGGTAAGTGTTTATACCAGAGGCAAGTGCTTATTATAATAAGAACCTTACAGTGTATACTTAAACAGAATTTATGAAGAGCTCTTTTTTATTTTTTTAATCTAATTTTGATTAGACTTCTCAAATTCTAAGAAGAAACTTTAAGCAAAACAAGATCCATAGTAACAAGTGAAGAAGTTAATTGTAATCCCCAGGGTAACCACCAAAAAAATAATTTTTAAAATATAATAAAAGAAACATCAAAGGACTGAAAATGTTACACAAGAAAATATATATTTGACACACAAGGAGTCAGTAATGGTAAAATAAAGGTACACAAAAAATACGACATAGAAAACGGAGTATGGTAGGTGTTAGATAGATCATTAAACATCAGTGCATTAGATACTTCAATCAAAAGGCACTGGTAGAATAAAGAAAATATATGTTCCAACTATATGCTAAGTATAAAAGACACATTAGATTCAAAGATACAACTATTCTAGAAGTAAAGGAAGTAAAACTATATTGCATGCAAATAGTAACCAAAAAAAAGAACAGAAGTGATTATAGGAATAGCAGCCAAAATAGACTAAAAGATCAAAAGTACTAGAGACAAGGAAGAGTGTTTTATAGTGATAAAAGGGACAATTTATGTGGAATCCATAGCAGTCACAAATATATATGCATCTAGTAACAGACCCCTAAAATACGTGAAGCAAATATTGACAGAATTGAAGGAATAAAAAGTTAATTCAGCAATAATAGTTGGAGACTTCAATACCCCACTTTTAGTGATGAACAGAACAACTAGGTAGATGATCAGTGGAGAAGTAGAAGACTTGAACAACCTTATAAACTTAAGTAGAAAAAAATCCTGGTGATACTCTGCTCAACAACAGCAGAAGACATATCTTTCTCAAGGACACATAAACAATATCTGGAGTAGACCATCAATAGGGTTATAGAACAAGCCTTAGTACGTTGAAGATAATTACAGTAATAACAAAGTGTGTTTTCTGACTAAAATGGAACAGAATTACAAATCAATGTGTAGAAGTTCACTAGAAAGTGGTAGTTAAGTAGGACACTCTGGAGGAAGAAATTGCAAGAGAAAGAGGGAAATGAGTTAAGTGAGTACAAAAATATGACATACCATGACTTATGGGATGCACAGAAAGAAATGTTTAGAGGGAAATTTTTAACTATAAACACCAGATTTAAAAAGAATGGTCTTGAAGCAATAACCAAAATCCACTTTAAGAAATTAGAAAAAGGAGGTCAAACTAAATTTATTCCAAGCAGAATGAAAGAAATAATAGATTACAGCAGAAATGAATGAAATAAATGATAAAAAATAGACAATTGAAAGAAATGGCAAAAAACAAAATTGGTAACTTTTTAGTTAAATTGATCAATAAAGAAGACTAATTAGGCCAGGCGTGGTGGCGCATGCCTGTAATCCCAGCACTTGGGAGGCTGAGGCAGGAAGATTGTTGCAAGTTTGAGGCCAGCCTGGGCTACAAAGTGAGCTCAAGGCCAGCCTGAACTGCATAACAAGACCATATCTCAAAAAAAAAAAGACTAATTAAATTAGAAGTGAAAGTATTAACATTACTACTGACTATAAAAATAAAAAGGTTACGAGGGAACATTTCAGATAATTGTATGACAATTGGTTACCTTAAATGAAATGGACAAACACCTGGAAAGTCGCAAAACTGACCCAAGGAGAAATAGAAAATCAGAGCAAACATATAACAGATATTGAATTAGTATTAAAAAAAAAAACCTGTCTACAAAGAAAAGCCCGGGTCCCCATGGCTTTATTGTTGACCCTATTACATATTAATAGTAGAGTTAACACCAATCCTTCACATAGCATTCCAGAAAGTAGAAAGGGAAAAGCACTTTTCTTGTGGTGTTTCCACTGTGTTTTGTTACCAGTGTCAAACAGAAAACACCACAAGGAAACTACAGATCAATATCCCTTATGAACAGACGCACAAACATTCTTACCAAAATTATTAGCATAAAAAATTCCAGCAGCATATAAAAAAGGTTACACGCCATTACAGAGGGAGATTTATACAAGTCAAAGCAGCAGAGGGTAGGAGCAAGGGAGGTAGCATTGAAAAGGAGAGAGGTTAGTTAAAAGGCCCCAAGTTCCAGTTTTGCAAGATGGATGAGTTCCTGAGATCTAATGTACATCTTGGTGACTGTAGTAAACAAACTGTGTATTGTGTACTTAAGATTTGCTAAGAGGATATGTTCTCACTACAGAAAAAAGAAAATGATATCTACATGACTTGTGGGTATATATGTTAATTAACTTGGTGGTGGTGATCACAATGCGTACATACATCAGAATATCAGTGTAACCCTCAATAAAGCTGTAAAAAATTAAACAAAATGTTGAAGATGTAGAGAAACTGGAGGCCTCAAATACATTGCTGATGAGGTCATAAAATGGTGCAGGCTCTTTGAAAACCGGTTTGGCAGTTCCTCAAAACGTTTCAGAGATTGCCACATAACCCAGCAGTTCCACTCCCAGGGTATATGGGAACTGAGAGTACATGTTCATACAAAAACTTGTACTCAAAAGTTCATTGCAGCGTTATGTATAATACCCAGAAGAGTGGAAACAACTCAACTGTCCATCAGCTAATGAATGGATACATAAAATGTATATCCACACAATGGAATAATACTCAGCAATAAAAAGCAGTGAATTGCTGATACATACTACGACATGGATGACCTCTCAAACATTATGCTGTGTAGCAGAAGCCAGTCTCAAAAGAGCACATATTGTGTGATTCTGTTCTTAATAAATGTCCAGAATAGGCAAATTCATAGAAATAGGGGGAGGGATTACATAGGAAGTGAGGGGTAATGGATTCTGGTATTTGGATTGATGAAAATGTCCTAAAATTAGTGGTGGGTGTTGTACAATTCTAGACATACCAAACACTCCTGAATTCTATACTAGTGAATTTTATGGTATGCGAATTTAACCCAATAGAGTTATTTTTTTAAAAAGGCTTAGTTGGAAGGAGAACATTTCCAGCAGATAAGAAAAGCTCCCCCCCGGGAGCGCAGCTCAGTGGTGGAGTCCTGTCTGCCAGGCGGGAGGCCCTGGGTTGCACCCCCAGCATGTGCAACGCGTGGCTTAGGCCAGGTGGGAACTTAACCTGCTCTCTTCCCGGTCTCAGCCAACCGCTTCACTGAAGTGGCTGTATTTGGCCTCTTTGGGTTGAATGGGTTCTTGAACTCAGCTGCTGAGGACAGATTCTTTTAAACAGCACCTACACCTGATGTTTTCACTTTGTCACATGCGGAGCTGAGGAGGTGGTGGAGGGTGAGGTTGCGGGAATGACCTGGAAGTCAAGGCACGGGAGGCAGAGAGGAGAAAGGCCAAGCCCAGCTCCCCCAAGTCTTGGAGGGCCATAAGTCCTTTTGGTGTGTGGGTGCCCTGTCTGCAGTGTGCCCATGCTCCTGACTTGTCCCTCAGGGACAGTTTAACAGTGCCAGGCCCTCAGAGCAGGACATCTACCTGCGACGTTATGGTGCAGGCAGACAGAGGCCCCACTTCTCCACATGCCCAGGCCGGGTCATGCTGCCAGGCAGCCTCCTTCACCCAACACAGGCTTGTCAAGTTCGATCCTTTTTCAGAATTACTGTGTGCTGCTTTTGTTAGCACAGGCCGACAGCTCCTCGGTTGTCCTGGGAACCCGGCTAACCCTGTCCCCAGACATGAAGTTGTCAGGCGCTCTGGGGATTTCCACGTGCTTTCCCTTACTCTAAAATAGAACAAAAGAGGCTATAGCAACCTACTCTTGGTTATACCGGATCTGGGAGTCCGCCACAAAGCACACTGTGCTTATCACATGCTAGTAAGTTGGAGACATATCCTTATAAGAATGAATACTTCCAGGAAAGTGATGAGCTCAGGTATACAGATGAGATCCCCGTGTCATTTGTGTTCTTGGTGTATTCCTGTGGGATGTCCCAAGCTTGGCATTATTTGTACTTTTACATCTCTGGATTATTTATCTTGAATGCTGCTGGTGTGCAACTCCATTTCAAAGGCACCTTATACACTCATGCAGAGTGGTGGCCATTTCTGCTCTGTGATAAGACATAAGCGCCTGCCTGGCAAGTGCAAGGTCCTGGGTTCGATTCTCGGTACCAAAAAAAGACCAAACAAACAAACAAACAATGTTTAAGCATATAGTATATATTCCATACTATATAGTATTGCCCTAATTTGAATTTTAGAATTCTGCCAGAAAAAGAACTAGAACACACAGAAAACCACTTTTCTTGGATTTACCTAGTGGTCTTTGAAGAACAGTGCTAATGTCTGTAACAATAGTAACTCCCATTTATGAAGTACTAGGTACCAAGTACATTAGGTGCTTGGTATAGTGTTGACATTCTATGGAATTTTACAAGTTTCATTTATCTTTTAGGTTCTGTAAAATGATAAACCCACATTGGTTAGATTTCTTGATCTTTTATTATACACTTAAAAAAAGGAAATAAAGAAAAAATCCACAGAATATACAGTGTACCTATAAAATTCTACAAAAATCTTATAAGTAATTTGAATGCATTTTTATTTATTTCATGCATGTTCAAATATTTTTAAAGAGTTTAAGTTCTTAATATTATATTCATGTTTATAATTAGGGAATTTGAGAGTAAGAATAAGTATTTGTTACTTTGGTTTGTTTCTTGCATAAGAAGACCTTAAAACAAAACAAACTAACTTAGAAGGATTTTAAAAAATTAAATACTAGAGAGTAAGTTTTGAAGTCATATTTGTTTGTTTTATTGATTTCTGTAGTAAAATCCACAAAAGAGAGAAAGAGTTAGACCCATACTAGTGCCTGTGAAAAAGAATCATATTTTCATTGATAAGACTCCTTTGGTGCATTGCTTCAGAAAGGATGATTTATTTCTGCTACTTGGCTTGACATAAATCCTCACTGCTTAGACGTGTATAAACCATCAGGATG